TTCCCTAGAACTTTGTATCTGCTCTGTCCTTGACTGGCCTGTACCCTATCAAATCCACCCTTAGCAGCACATCCGCCATAAAGCTAGCCACCTCACTCCCCTGATGGTGGCCTCGATGACCCCCTATTCCCACTAGGACACAGTCCAGGTATGGCACAAAAGGCTCTCCTTGACTGGGACCTGCCTCCTTGTCAGCCTACCTCCCACTGCTGCCTGGTTCATCTTTGATCTTCCAATAAGGCCACCGCGTTTAGCTCCACATAGACATCAACTTGTCTCTCCCCTCTGTGCCATTTTTCGGGTTGTCCCACCCCCCACCATTCCTTCTCCCACAACCTAATTAAATCCAACTCATCCCTAAAAACTTAATTCAGGTCTCAACTCCTCCAGGAAGCCTTCCCTGATAATCTTCCCCTCTCATTTCCTACCATAGGATCCTCCATCATTAAATCTAACATGGCATGTTCTAAATATTTATGGAGGTGCCTAGTTTCCTGATTAGAATAAAGATTCTTGATGCCAGGGACCACCCCTCATTTGGTTTGATATGCCGATTGCCTGATCAACTCACAGAGTTGATGCTCAAAGACTAGATGAATGAATTAGTGAATGACGAACTAATGGTTATTGACTGGGCCACTTTGGTGCTGGAGCCCTCAAAATGAGCAGAATCCTCCCGCACCCAACCCTCTATATTACATGGGCCCAGCCCCGCGGTCCCTTGCTACATGATGCTTCCAGTGTTTAGAATTGGTTTTACTGGTGTTTCATTTTTATCTCAGTCCTTGCTAGGCAGCTTATGATCATTTAATAGTTGTGTGACCCTAGCTATTTGTTTTCTAAGCTTCAGTTTGCCATATGTAAAATGGGCTCTATTATAGTACCCACTGAACAGACTTGCCACGAAAAGTGAATGAACTAAAGTAAGGTGTGTGGTCAGAGCTCAGTAACTGGTAGGTATAACTAAGCTGTAAAGCAAACAATATGGTAAGAGGTACACAGGTAAGGACAGTGGGAGTTCAGAGGTTAAAATGGACTTGAACACGGTCGCCTTGAGTCGAACATCTTCCCTGTCCCCAAAGTGTTCTTTACATAATCAGTAACTCTGGGAAGCTCAGTGTTGTGGGTTTACTGTGTCGTCACAGAAGCCAGAGCTGCCATTTGCTTGCCCACCTCAGCCGGCGTGTGCAGAATTGCAGCATGAGTAAGAAAACCAAGGAGAGCAGATAAAGTCAGTGTCTGAGGCAAGTGGTTTCTAAGACTCCAGTGAGGCTCCTGGAGACACTAGGCATTTCCCTCCTGCTGCCACATTGTTGGCGTGGGAGAGAAGGCCCAGCTCATCATCTTACCAAAGTTATCAGTCCAAACCCAAAAGCCAATCCTCAACCCAGCTTAGTAGCTAGTCAGTGACAGTTTGGTGATTGGAGCCTACAGGTGAAAAAGTCTGGGACTGGAAGCCAAGAGCGTAATTTCTGGCCCCGGCTTCCCCATGGCCAGGGAGCCATGTCCATCTTCCCTCCCCAACGCTGCCTCACTCGCTGGAGCACTGGCAAGAGAACAGAGCGAGCGGGGGCTTTCTGTGCTTCCCAGTCAGTCAACAAATATTCAACGGGAAGGTACAGAGTGGCCTATTCCGTCCTAGGTCATTTGGGTAATCTTTGTAGATTTAAAAAGGAAGCACACCGGGGGTGCCTGGGTGGCTCAGCCCACTGAGCGTCCAACTCTTGGTTTCAGCTTAGGTCATGTTCCCAGGGTCATGGGATCGAGCCCCGCAGCAGGCTCCAAGCTGTGCATGGAGCCTCCTTGGGATTCTCTGTCTGTCTCCCTTTGTTCCTCGCTCCTGCTCTCTCTCTAAGATAATAAGCAAATTAATTAACTAAACAAAAAGAAGTACACTGAATAGCAAAGGAAACCATGAACAAAATGAAAGGGCAACTTACAGAATGGGAAAAAATATTTGCAAATCATATATCTGAAAAAGGATTACCATCCAAGATACATAAAGAACTCATACAAATTCAGTAGCAAAAAATAACAATCCAATTAAAAAAACACACAGAGGAACTGACCATTTTCCCAAAGAAGACATACGAATGACCAACAGGTAGATGAAAGGTGCACAACATCACTGATCCCCAGAGAAGTGCAAATCAAAAGCACAATGACCTATCACCTCACACCTGTTAGCTTGGCCATCATCATTTCACACCTGTTAGCTTGGACATCATCAACAAGATAAGCAATTATGAATGTTGGTGAGGATGTGGAGGAAAGGAAACACTTGAGCACTGTTGGTGGGAATGCAGATTGGTACAGCCACTGTGGAAAACAGCATGGGAGGGGACTCAAAAAATTAATAAAAGAATTACCATTCGATCCAGCAATGTCACCCTCATGTTCACTGTAGTATTATTCACAATAGCCAAGACATAGAAATAACCTAGTGTCCACTGACAAATGAATGGATAAAGAAGATGTGGTATGTGTGTATACACACACACACACACACACACACACACACACACACACACACACACTGGAATATCATTCAGCCATAGCAGAGAAGGAAATCACGCCATTTGCCACACCATGAATGGAACTCGAGGGCATTATGCTAAGTGAAATGAGCCAGACAAAGACAAATACCATACGATCACACTTATATGTAAAACTTAAAAAAAAAACCAACTTAAAGAAACAAAGAACAGATTGGTGGTTGCCAAAGGTAGAAGAAAGGTGTGAAGGTGGTCAAAGGTACAAACCTCCAATTATAAGATAAGTGTGTCCAAGTCATGTGATGTACATGATGGTTCCCAGGGCTAGTAATACTGTACTGGACCTGTGACAGGTGCTAAGGAAGTAGATCTTCTGTGAGGCAATAACTACGCTAATTGTGGCGATCTGTCTACAGAACCACTCCTCTCCCCTTCCAGCCCTGCTCTGCTCAGTGTCCTAGCCCCTGGCCACATGTATTTAAACATTCCCTTAAAATATGGCTATTCTAACTGAGATGTGCTGTGTGAAAGACACATGAGAATAGAAAATATTCTGTTGGAACTTAAATTGATTGATTCCATGAAGAAATTGTGTGTTAGACGTATTTGGTTAAATAAAATATATCATTCTGATTGGTGTAATACTGTTTCTTTTCACTTCTTTTAACAGGGCTACCAGAAATTTTTAGATTACGTGTGTGACTCACATATATGTCTACAAGAGAGGCATCCAGTCCTGTACAGAACTCATACCTCGATGCAAGCATTAAATCAGTCAAGACAAGGAGAGGACCTAGCACAGTGCCTGAAACAAATTAAGCACCCAATAGCTATTGTTAGTATTACTAAGATCAGTGGTTTTTTTTTTTAAACTTTGTTAATGTTTATTTCTTTTTGAGACAGAGAGTGACACAGCACAAGCAGAGGAGGGACAGAGAGAGAGGGAGACACAGAATCAGAAGCAGGCTCCAGGCTCTGAGCTGTCAGTACAGAGCCTGACTCAGGGCTAGAACTGTGAGATCATGACCTGAGCTGAAGTTGGATGCTTAACCAACTGGGCCATCCAGAAGGCCCAGATCAGTGACTTTCAAATTTTATAGTCAAGTTTGTTTTTCAAGCAACTTTTTTTTTTTAATTTTTTAAAATGCTTTTATTTATTTCTGAGAGAGAGAGAGAGACAGTATGAGCAGGGGAGGATCAGAGAGAGAGGGAGGTACAGAATCTGAAGCAGGTTCCCAGCTCTGAGCTATCTCTCAGCACAGAGTCCGATGCGGAGCTCGAACCCGCAAACTGTGAGATCTTGACCTGAGCCAAAGTCAGACGCTTAACCGACTGAGCCACCCAGGCACCCCTCAAGCAACTTCTTATAACAGATTTAAAAAATATTAAGTTCTGATGAAAGCAGAGAGAACTTGAGGTCTCTCCAGGGGCCATTTCATCCTGGGCACCATCTCCTTCGGTGGGAAATGATGCACTAAGTCATCCTAAAATGTCCTTCAAGCTCCAGCATTACACACCTACCATTTCAGAGAAGGTGATGAAGTGGTATGAGACAGAAACCAAATTGTCTATGGCAGCACTTTAAAAATGATCATGAACCTTAAATGTTCTCAGCACAAAAAAGAAATGATAATTCCGTGACATGAGAGGAGTGTTAGCAAAAGCCACGGCAGTGAGCTTATTGCAATATAGAGGTGCATCAAGTCGAATCGTCACATAGTACACACCTTAAACCTACACAATGTTATATGTCAATTACATCTCAATAAAAAATAATTAGTTACCCCAAAAAAGATCATGGGAAAACACTACCATTTTGCTCAGGAGAATCAAGATGGTTTGGTCCCACCTCTAGCTAGACACAGCCCAGAAATTGGGGCATCATGAATGTGAGTGATGGAAAGATCACCTGTGGTCCCTGGATCATTACCTGCATATACAACACCCGTGTGCCACACTGCTCTGTTTCTGCTCCTCACAACCCACTGACCACCCCCCACCTGGGGAAGGCTCTCGGAGCTGGGCCCAGGCACCAACATGGCGATGTCCAGCTCGGGGGAAGGGCAGCAAGTGACACTTAGCCGGGACACCACAATGACTCTGCTGTCCTAAAGGCAGCACTCGGCTGTCAGCCCCCATATCTGCCAGCCAAGCCTCCTGGCTTTTCCTGCAGCCTCGCCACTGGCTTGTGTGTGTGTGTGTGTGTGTGTGTGTGTGTGTGTGTGTGTGTACGGGGACAGCAGCCAGCTCTCTCTGCCGGGCTCTCTAACAAGTTCCACGAGTCTGTTTGTTAAAGAAAAATTCCAGTGGGTCCATCCAACACATGGAACTCAAGTACAGAAATTATATTTATCCACCCCACTGCCAAGGAGATCACATGCCCCGTGAGTCACTCCAGATGTGCTCAAAAACAGAGTCTCTCTGTGGAAGCCCGGTCCCCCAATCCCGGAGAGAGTCGAATTAGCAGAGGTCCCAATTCCTATGTCCCCACCCCCCTGAGAGGCAGCCTCTGCCTCTACCCTTCTGGGGCAGGAGAGGACATCTCTGCACTTCTGTAAAGGGAAGGGGGTAAGAGCTCTAGCCTCACACTAGGAGGACCAGCACGGGCATACCTGCAGCTCCTGACGTCCCACTGGGTTTGAAGACAACTTGTCACCTTTTCGGAGGAAAAGATGTGCTGGAGGACATTGCTGCTTCTGCTGCTGTGCTATGATGCTCAGGCGACTGTGTCCCACAGGTGGAGCAGGGGTAAGTTGCTTTGAATTTGTTTGATGCTCATGATTCTTTCTCAAATACAATTAGAAATCTGGGGGCGGGGGGTGCGGAGAAGAGTAAGGTAGTGGAAGGAAATTAGATGCCCTGCACACACGCACACACACACACACACACACACCCTCTTTTATCTCATCTCTGCCAATTGCTTTATGCTTCTTGACATGTCAGAAGGTGCTAGAAGGTGATGGGGGATGGGACGCTGAAAAATATCAAAGCCGCCGAGGGATCTTGGTGGAGGTGGAGAGCGCAGAAAACGGCCCTTTCTGACGTGCCAGAGCTAAGTTGTGTTTGCTTCGTGGAATGTTCCATGGAATGTGGGTAGTCTCCCTCAAGCCCCTCTGCCCGCCCCCCGTGGCTGTAGCCAGGCAGGGCATGTGAACGGCGGGTACCAGGACCCACACTGGTATCCCGGGACTATAGGTGCTGGCTTGCAAAAGGCCTGCTTCCCCGGGGGGGACCCGACTAAGGGCCCCGGACATGGGCTGGCCACATGGAGGTCTCCACGCCGCTCCCGAACAGGAGTGGCCACGTCCTCCCAGCTGGGGAAAGCTGGACAGTAGCAGGAGAGGAAGGGTAGCCCTTGAGCATTCACATGTGTGCCAGGCAGCCACTGCCCCTGGGCCCGCAGTCCACCTCGGAAAGGAGGGAGCCCGGCAAGGATTCTCCCTCAGGGCAGACGTCCTTTCCCTCAGGACCGGGAGGCACCTTTTCTCTCTGCCCAACACTGGCTCCAGTTGGCAGACACTGGTAGCCAGTCCAGCCAACCATTGATCCCTGCTGGGAACTGAGGGAGCAGCGGTGCGGACCGCCCTGTGCAGAGCTCAACGCAACTGTCTCCACTGCCTGAAGTCAACTGAGGTCTCTCTCCCGGAAAGAACTGGAAACAGAAGTCAGGCTCATAGGTGTTTCTAGAGATCCAAAATGGGATGAGGACTGTCGTGGCAGCAGGGGAGCCGCGGGGAGGGGCAGGGGGGGTGACGATGAGCCTCCAGGTTCTCGGGGAGAGTGTCGGGGAAGGAAGGAGCAGCCAGCGTGGGACAGAGAAGCACAGAGCAAATGCTGCGGCACTCATCTGAGGTTTTTATTCCCTCATTTTTAAGCTTGAGATCAGGGACTTGCCAGTTCTCTGAGCTGAGCTGTGAAATGATTGCTGCCCAGAGACAAATAATTCATGTAGCATTTCCCCTTTTTTTTTTTTTCTGGTAACATCACACACACACACACCCCTGCTCATGAAATGCACAAACTTTGGAGGCAACACTTGGAAGGAGAGCGAAGAGATCTTGGCATTACATTCGGCCCCTCACCTCTGTGCGACACTGGGGGTCTTCCTTAAGTGGTCTCTTAGAAAAAGCTGATAATACCCAACCTCCTGATGCACAGGCTGTTAGAGAGCCACCCAAGATAATCTGACTTGTAACAAGGCTTGTAAACTTCATAGCCACATCCTGAGCTCTCCTGCAAGGACCCCAAAGATTTAAGTTCTCCTCTCATCGGCTGTGTGATGTCTGGCAAGCCTCTTAACCTCTCTGAGCTTCGGTTCACTGACAAGTCACGTATTAACAGTAAGAAAATTTATCTTCACTGCGCTGTGGTGAAGGTCACGTTCAGGATGTAAACAAAATGCTTCGTACGCAATGAAGAAGCTTATAAATGTGAGCTATGACCTACCACTGAAACCCATGAAAACGTTGCATTGAAAAAGTGTGGGGTTTTCAACAGTAACCTCCTGGGACCAAATACTCTGCCCCCTGCCTCCCCGGGCAAGGTCTGGCCCTGTACCCTAATACCAAATCCTTCTGGAGACAGGAAGCCAGCACCGCTGAAACAGAGGACGTGATGAGGCATCCGTGTTAAGCGCTAGATTAGTGGTTCCCGTCAGGGTTCAGAGTCAACAAATGACACAGAGTAGTCCCTCCAAACATCATCAAAAGGCTTCCACGTAGTTGATTTTTTTTTTTCATTTTTAACATTTCTTCCCAATTGTAAAAGGAACACCCAATTGCCATTTTTTTAAAGACGGAATGAGAGTCACGCCCAGATAAAAAGCAGTTTTTCCAAACGTACTTAACTGTTCCCTGCGCCTTCGTCCTCACCACCACCCCCCCCCCCCCCCCCCCCCCCCCCCCCCCCCCGCCAGGCCTGATTTAGGAGAATTCCCTGTCCCAACAGCCTGAGGGTGACCTCTCCTCTGCCCGCGGCCCCCACCCCGACACCAGCACCCTGGCCTCCACCCTCCCCTACCCCCTGTCCCCAAGTGGAAATGTACAAATAAACCCAGAAGGCACACACCCTGCTGTCCGAGCATCCTCCCGGCCTCTCCCAACAAGTGCTCTCTAGGATTCGGCTCTGGGACGCCGCTCTCCATGCCAGCCCGGTCGGCTGTTCCATCGGGCCCCACCAACCGATGACAGGCGTGATGATTCACCTGTGGTTAGAGGCCGGCCCAGCCCGGAAACCCAACTCCCTGAGCCCCCAGGGCCATCAGAACTCCACCTTGGGGGTTGGGGGGGGGCTAACCAGTCTTTAAAAAAAAAAAAAAGGAATGTATATATTTTTTATTAAATACACGTAAATGATTATTTTAAAATCAGGCTAAAAGGGAAGGATGGCCCTTGAGTTATCTGGTGGAATTTACATCATTTTCAGGTGTCCCTTTTCGTATGTGTTTTCAATCACGTGTTTTCGATCACGAATGTTCCATGAAGGGAGGGGCCTGTGATCCGTGTTCAATGAGTACTGACTAACAGGACTCGCATAATTGAGCACACCCGGCGCAGCCGCAGTAACTCCACGGACAGGTGCTATGCTGACCATCTTCAGGGAAGGAAACCAGAGGATGAGGGAGCAGTTGACGAGCCCCAGATGGCTCAGCTGGAAGGACACAGCTGGATTCTGTCACCCACCCCAGGTCCATGGCATCGGAGTCTGCCAGCCCTCCCGCATCCCCTCGGGGTGCTCCCGGCAGCCCTAAGTTCCCCCTCCCCGGGGGTTGGGGCAGTCTAGCCCTTTCAGAAACAGTCCCACAGAGACCCCCAACACATGGGTCCAGATCCTGGCCTGCTCAGGATGCAGTGGCTTTCTAAAGGGTTGGCCCAGGAGCAGAAAAGTAAATGACATCAATAAGATCTCACAAAAGATCTTTTATAAATGAGAGGGTTTTTCCTTCCACACCCGCTGCCATTTCCATTGGGTTGCTTCCACTGATTCATTAAAAATATGGCTGTATTTTGGCTTGATATGGTGTGCAGTTTGAATCCTTTCCAACAAGCTCTCGGTACGAATGCTGTGTCCAGTTATGTGGAAATCATGGTGAGCGTTAAAACCAGCCTGTTCTATCGAGCATGACATCTTCCACGTCAGGGGACTTCTGTCTACACGCCTGCGTGAGAAAGCTAGACGGCTCAAGGTACAGGGGGAGACAGGTACCAGCCTTGACTGAGATCATCAAAGGCAGCTTCTCCCAGGGGCGCCTGGGTGGCTCAGATGCTTAAGTGTCTTGGCTTCAACAAAGGTCATGATCTCATGGTTCATGGGTTTGAGACCCACATCAGGCTCCATGCTGACAGTGCAGAGCCTTCTTGAGACTCTCTCTCTCTCTCTCTCTCTCTCTCTCGCTCTCGCTCTCTCTCTCTGCCTCTCCCCCACTCACATGTATGCTAGCTCGCTCGCTCTCTCAAAAGAAATAAACTTAAAAAAAAAAAAAAAAGTAGCTTCTCCCAGGCAAGGATAGGCACTCCTCAGAGAGAACGGGAGGGTATGGTAGAGGAGACAGGAGACCACACGTACCTTTTGATAATTAGCCGGCACCTGGAATTGCAAATAAGTTCTAGAACCATCCTGTTAGAAAAGAAGGATTTAGTAAAGTGCTCTGTTTGAAAAGACTGGAGGGCCGTGACAAGAGTAGTTAATGTTAATGATCCCCCGTTCATTCAACAGTTGTGGGCAGGATGCTTGCAAACAAAACAGACAAGATCCCAGGCCCTCAGGGAGCGGACATTCTAGTGAGGGAAACAGGCAATAAACACATGCAAATAAGACATCTGGTTTGAGGACAATAAACTAGGGATGGAATATAGGGGATTATACTTTTAAATAGAGAAGTCAGGGAAGGTCTCCCTAAAGAGGTGACAAAAGACCTGAAGGAAACAAGGGCGTGAGCCATGCAGTTGCTGGAGAAAGCTTATTCGAGGCAAAAGAAATGGAAGTGCAACGGCCCTGTGGTAGAAGCAGGTGTGGCATGCCCAAGGAGCGGTGACGAGGCCTGTGGCAGGGATGGCACGAGCCCAGGGAGAATAACGAGTGAGCTCAGAGAGGTAGTAAGAAGTCAAGTCTTGTAGAGCTTGGTAGCCCTTCTGTAGATCTCGGGCCTTCATTCTGAGTGAGATGGAAGCCACTGAGGGCTCTGGACAGAGGAGTGACATCATCTGACCCACGTTTTCCATTTAGTGGTTGCAAGAATAGATGAGGGAGGCAGCCAGGGATGGAAGCAGAGACCCCACCAGGAGAGGCGCTCCGGGCCGGAACCAGGGGTCCAGAGAGATGTTGCAAGAAGTAGCCAGACTCCGGGCATATTTTGAAGGCAGAGCTGATGAGATTTGCTGATTGCTTGGATGTAGGATGTGAAAGAGACACGTCAAGGATGACTCCGAGGTTTCTGGCCTGAGCAACCGAGAGAGACGGGGTCGACTAGACGAAGCAGGTGGGCTATGTGGGGGAGACGTGTGTGTGTGTGTGTGTGTGTGTGTGTGTGTGTGTGAGGGCTATGTGGGGGAGATGTGTGTGTGTGTGTGGTACGTGGTGTGTGAGGGCTATGTGGGGAAGACATGTGTGGTGTGCAGTGTGAGGGCTATGTGGGGGAGACGTGTGTGTGTGTGTGTGTATGTGTGTGTGAGAGCATTTGCGTGTTCGTGATATGTGTGGTATTGTGTGTGTGTGTGGTGTGTGTATGTGGTACATACATGTTATATGGT